GACAGGTTAACTCTCAGCAGGAAGTGATTTGTCCATGACAGTTGGCAGGAAATCATGTTCCACACCCTCAGGTCACTTTCAGTCTGTGCTCTCGGGAACACCAGATCCAGAATGTCTCCTGATTTATGCATGGAGTCAATGGCATGCTGGGATAGGTTCATGGTTGTCATGCAATCCATGAACTCCAGGGCTGGTCCCAATAGTTCAGGCTCAGCATGGACGTTGAAGTCCCTGGCTATCAGTAATCTGGGAGACCTCAAAACTGCCGCTGAGATGAACTCAGGCAGACCTGGCAGGGAGAGTGTTGGGTTGCAGGGAGAGCAGTACACCAGCAGTATCCCAAACCTATTCCAGAGCCCCACTGTCAGGTACAAACACTGTAGGCCTGAGTGTGACAGTGCAGCTCCCCTGCTGATATGGATGGAATCTCTATGAATGACTGTGACTCCCTCCCACCTCCTTTTCTTATTTCCTTTACACTTGATTCTTTCAGAGGAATAAGAGCTAATTAAGCATATATCTGTGAAGGTTCTCAGTAATCCAGGTGTGGCTATCTGGAAATTGACTCATGTCAACTAGACTTCGCTCTTGTTAGGTTGAAACTTTTTGCTACTTATCCAAGCAGCTTCTTCAGTCTGTGGAGAGTTAAGTCAGAGATCCCTCATATATATCCACCTTGGTTTCATTTCCTCCTGGTCTGAATAGGCTCATTAGAAGGACAAAGGATTTAGGGTGAGGGATAATCCCACTTCTGCAGTCCTTCTCCACCCATTGTCATGGGTCATTGATGGTCGTTAAAAGGGTCTTTCTTGTGTGTATCCCTAATCCTTCTGGGGACAGATGAAAGGGCAGCATCATAAATAGGAGACAGATTGTATCTAAGGCCTCCACCCCTGTTGAGACTGCGATTTTCTATAGGCACATGTATGGCCTTCCTGACCCTTTCTCAAACCTCCTATCTTTTTGGTCCAAAATGAGTACATCTTGGTCATCAAATGAGTGTCCTTTGTCTTTCAAATGATTGTGGGTCCTGAGCTATTGCCCCCCTGTGCTGGGCCATTCTCCTGTTTAGTGGCTTTGGTTTCTCCACCATCCCTCACCCCCAGGCATTTGTCCTTCTAACGAGCCTTTTCAGACCAAGGGGAAGTGAAACCAATGTGGAGGATATATCAGGGATCTCCTTCTAAGTCTCCTCAGAATGAAGAAGCTGCTTAGATGAGTAGCAAAGCATTTCAACCTAACAAAAAGGAAATCTAGTTGCCATGACTCAACTTCCAAAAAGCTGATTAGGCATGTTTATACAATAAGGGATTCATAAATGTACATAAATTCAGAAGTAATTGATGCAATAGAAAGATCAATTGAAAATAGAATAATCAGCTTCATATCAGACTGTGAATAACCCTCTTTCCTTCTCTGCTCCTTCGTACCTACCTCACATACAGTATTACCTTTTCTGTAGCAAAGCTGGTTATTGTGCTAGATGTGCATAATTTCTCCAGGGATGCCAATAGTTTTATTTTATTAGAGATTTTAATGATGTACAATAATTTTTTCACTATTAAAAACAGTCTAGCTATTTCATACTATTTATTTCATGGTCTGTTTCATCAGTCTATTTCTCATCCATGTGCATTGTCTTCTGGAACTCAATTTCATTCCATTTTCTTATGAATCTGGTTTTTAAGAAATACACATGAAGATGTCTATGTATTTTAAAATTAGTTTTCTCACAGAAAGCTTGAAATAGATTTTCATACTTTTTTCTGAGTTGAGAACTGCATCGAAGATTTTCATAAGCTTCACATCTTAATCTTCACATTAGTCTTGTAGGTATGGATATGGTCAGAATTCACAAAAATCTAATTGCTGAAATGACTTATAGTGACCTTAAAGATAGATTTGATGTATCATTTTGCACACATTTGGGGGATGTGGTGGCGGGTACCACTGCTGAGAAGGCCCTACTTCTAATAGATGATTCTTGAGCTTTTCTTGGGGTAGCTACACAGAGGAGCCTGCCCTGAGAAGATCTGGTGTGCCAGACATTGGGGAAAGACTCTCTGACAGGTCCCAAACCATGTGGGCTTTATATGCAAGTGTCAGAACCTTGAACTTGATCCAGGACACAACAATAACCAATGGAGGCTGGCCACCACTATGGTGATGTGATGAAATTTGCTCACACCAGCCACCAGTCTGGCTGCCACATTCTGGACCCTCTGTAGTCTCCGGGTCCATCTCAAAGGAAGCCCCAAATAGATAGTATTGCAGTAGTTGATCCAGGAGATGATCAATGCCTGCACCAACTTCCTGAAGGAGTCCTCATCTAGATAGGGGTGGAGTGGTAAGCCTAAGGTCTGGACATAGCTGTGATCTGGGGATCCTAAGAAAGAGTGGGATCCAGAAGAATGCCCAAATTACGAACTTGATCCCTAAACAGGAGGGCAGGGCCATCCAGTCTAGGGATGATCCTCCCCAACATTTCAGAGCCCCCCGGAACAGAATCTGTCTTGTCAGCCACCTGGATTGTCTGTGAATAACATTGGTCAACCTGGGCTTTGACAAGATTGTCCACCAGGTCAACCAGATATCCTCAAGGCCTCCCGAAACCATTTCGGATCAAGAAGTCTACAAGGGCGGGCCTATTTCACAGGTCCATTCTCCCCATGGATAGGGTCACAGTGGACAGGTTAACTCTCAGCAGGAAGTGATTTGTCCATGACAGTTGGCAGGAAATCATGTTCCACACCCTCAGGTCACTTTCAGTCTGTGCTCTCGGGAACACCAGATCCAGAATGTCTCCTGATTTATGCATGGAGTCAATGGCATGCTGGGATAGGTTCATGGTTGTCATGCAATCCATGAACTCCAGGGCTGGTCCCAATAGTTCAGGCTCAGCATGGACGTTGAAGTCCCTGGCTATCAGTAATCTGGGAGACCTCAAAACTGCCGCTGAGATGAACTCAGGCAGACCTGGCAGGGAGAGTGTTGGGTTGCAGGGAGAGCAGTACACCAGCAGTATCCCAAACCTATTCCAGAGCCCCACTGTCAGGTACAAACACTGTAGGCCTGAGTGTGACAGTGCAGCTCCCCTGCTGATATGGATGGAATCTCTATGAATGACTGTGACTCCCTCCCACCTCCTTTTCTTATTTCCTTTACACTTGATTCTTTCAGAGGAATAAGAGCTAATTAAGCATATATCTGTGAAGGTTCTCAGTAATCCAGGTGTGGCTATCTGGAAATTGACTCATGTCAACTAGACTTCGCTCTTGTTAGGTTGAAACTTTTTGCTACTTATCCAAGCAGCTTCTTCAGTCTGTGGAGAGTTAAGTCAGAGATCCCTCATATATATCCACCTTGGTTTCATTTCCTCCTGGTCTGAATAGGCTCATTAGAAGGACAAAGGATTTAGGGTGAGGGATAATCCCACTTCTGCAGTCCTTCTCCACCCATTGTCATGGGTCATTGATGGTCGTTAAAAGGGTCTTTCTTGTGTGTATCCCTAATCCTTCTGGGGACAGATGAAAGGGCAGCATCATAAATAGGAGACAGATTGTATCTAAGGCCTCCACCCCTGTTGAGACTGCGATTTTCTATAGGCACATGTATGGCCTTCCTGACCCTTTCTCAAACCTCCTATCTTTTTGGTCCAAAATGAGTACATCTTGGTCATCAAATGAGTGTCCTTTGTCTTTCAAATGATTGTGGGTCCTGAGCTATTGCCCCCCCCCCTGTGCTGGGCCATTCTCCTGTTTAGTGGCTTTGGTTTCTCCACCATCCCTCACCCCCAGGCATTTGTCCTTCTAACGAGCCTTTTCAGACCAAGGGGAAGTGAAACCAATGTGGAGGATATATCAGGGATCTCCTTCTAAGTCTCCTCAGAATGAAGAAGCTGCTTAGATGAGTAGCAAAGCATTTCAACCTAACAAAAAGGAAATCTAGTTGCCATGACTCAACTTCCAAAAAGCTGATTAGGCATGTTTATACAATAAGGGATTCATAAATGTACATAAATTCAGAAGTAATTGATGCAATAGAAAGATCAATTGAAAATGGAATAGCTTCATATCAGACTGTGAATAACCCTCTTTCCTTCTCTGCTCCTTCGTACCTACCTCACATACAGTATTACCTTTTCTGTAGCAAAGCTGGTTATTGTGCTAGATGTGCATAATTTCTCCAGGGATGCCAATAGTTTTATTTTATTAGAGATTTTAATGATGTACAATAATTTTTTCACTATTAAAAACAGTCTAGCTATTTCATACTATTTATTTCATGGTCTGTTTCATCAGTCTATTTCTCATCCATGTGCATTGTCTTCTGGAACTCAATTTCATTCCATTTTCTTATGAATCTGGTTTTTAAGAAATACACATGAAGATGTCTATGTATTTTAAAATTAGTTTTCTCACAGAAAGCTTGAAATAGATTTTCATACTTTTTTCTGAGTTGAGAACTGCATCGAAGATTTTCATAAGCTTCACATCTTAATCTTCACATTAGTCTTGTAGGTATGGATATGGTCAGAATTCACAAAAATCTAATTGCTGAAATGACTTATAGTGACCTTAAAGATAGATTTGATGTATCATTTTGCACACATTTGGGGGATGTGGTGGCACTGCAGGTTAAACTGTAGAAGCCTCTGTGCTGGAGATTCAGAAGACCAGCAGTTGTAAGATCAAATCCACGTGACTGAGTGAGCTCGTGTCGCTTGTCCCAGCTCCTGCCAACCTAGCAGTTTGAAAGCATGTAAAAATGCGAGTAGATAAATAGGTACCACCTTGGTGGGAAGGTAAGAGCGTTCTGTGTCTAGTCACTCTGGCCATGTGGCCATGGAAACTGTCTACGGACAAACACTGACTCTACGGCTTGGAGACGGGGATCAGCACCATGCCCTAGAGTCGGACATGACTGGACTAAATGTCAAAGGGAACCTTTACCTTACTTTGCACACATTTAGTTTAATTCTGTCCCCTTTTTTCTTGCAGGTTAATAGTGAAAACGTAGTAAAAGTTGGCCACAGGCAGGTGGTGAATATGATTCGGCAAGGAGGCAATCACTTAGTACTTAAAGTTGTCACAGTAACCAGGAATCTTGATCCGGATGACACAGCCAGAAAGAAAGGTACATTTTGTTCATTGTTTGAATTGTTCTGCATCTTTTTTATACAGAGAATGATTTAAAAGATCTGTTACCTTTTAAGTTCATGCTGCACATTTTGTTCATCATTGCACTAATATACATTCTCTTCTTTTACTGAAAGAAGAGGTTAATTTCTAAATTAAGGGAATACACATCCCTTCTTGTATGGGTGGAACAATTTGTGTACATTACTCAGAGGGACTCTGTCAAAGGAAATCAATTCCTCAGTGTTGAGCGTCTTTCTAAATTATTTTTAAATTAATTTATTTTGGCAGTTAACCCATCAAGAAATATTTCTATGCTCTCGGGAACACCAGATCCAGAATGTCTCCTGATTTATGCATGGAGTCAATGGCATGCTGGGATAGGTTCATGGTTGTCATGCAATCCATGAACTCCAGGGCTGGTCCCAATAGTTCAGGCTCAGCATGGACGTTGAAGTCCCTGGCTATCAGTAATCTGGGAGACCTCAAAACTGCCGCTGAGATGAACTCAGGCAGACCTGGCAGGGAGAGTGTTGGGTTGCAGGGAGAGCAGTACACCAGCAGTATCCCAAACCTATTCCAGAGCCCCACTGTCAGGTACAAACACTGTAGGCCTGAGTGTGACAGTGCAGCTCCCCTGCTGATATGGATGGAATCTCTATGAATGACTGTGACTCCCTCCCACCTCCTTTTCTTATTTCCTTTACACTTGATTCTTTCAGAGGAATAAGAGCTAATTAAGCATATATCTGTGAAGGTTCTCAGTAATCCAGGTGTGGCTATCTGGAAATTGACTCATGTCAACTAGACTTCGCTCTTGTTAGGTTGAAACTTTTTGCTACTTATCCAAGCAGCTTCTTCAGTCTGTGGAGAGTTAAGTCAGAGATCCCTCATATATATCCACCTTGGTTTCATTTCCTCCTGGTCTGAATAGGCTCATTAGAAGGACAAAGGATTTAGGGTGAGGGATAATCCCACTTCTGCAGTCCTTCTCCACCCATTGTCATGGGTCATTGATGGTCGTTAAAAGGGTCTTTCTTGTGTGTATCCCTAATCCTTCTGGGGACAGATGAAAGGGCAGCATCATAAATAGGAGACAGATTGTATCTAAGGCCTCCACCCCTGTTGAGACTGCGATTTTCTATAGGCACATGTATGGCCTTCCTGACCCTTTCTCAAACCTCCTATCTTTTTGGTCCAAAATGAGTACATCTTGGTCATCAAATGAGTGTCCTTTGTCTTTCAAATGATTGTGGGTCCTGAGCTATTGCCCCCCCCCCTGTGCTGGGCCATTCTCCTGTTTAGTGGCTTTGGTTTCTCCACCATCCCTCACCCCCAGGCATTTGTCCTTCTAACGAGCCTTTTCAGACCAAGGGGAAGTGAAACCAATGTGGAGGATATATCAGGGATCTCCTTCTAAGTCTCCTCAGAATGAAGAAGCTGCTTAGATGAGTAGCAAAGCATTTCAACCTAACAAAAAGGAAATCTAGTTGCCATGACTCAACTTCCAAAAAGCTGATTAGGCATGTTTATACAATAAGGGATTCATAAATGTACATAAATTCAGAAGTAATTGATGCAATAGAAAGATCAATTGAAAATGGAATAGCTTCATATCAGACTGTGAATAACCCTCTTTCCTTCTCTGCTCCTTCGTACCTACCTCACATACAGTATTACCTTTTCTGTAGCAAAGCTGGTTATTGTGCTAGATGTGCATAATTTCTCCAGGGATGCCAATAGTTTTATTTTATTAGAGATTTTAATGATGTACAATAATTTTTTCACTATTAAAAACAGTCTAGCTATTTCATACTATTTATTTCATGGTCTGTTTCATCAGTCTATTTCTCATCCATGTGCATTGTCTTCTGGAACTCAATTTCATTCCATTTTCTTATGAATCTGGTTTTTAAGAAATACACATGAAGATGTCTATGTATTTTAAAATTAGTTTTCTCACAGAAAGCTTGAAATAGATTTTCATACTTTTTTCTGAGTTGAGAACTGCATCGAAGATTTTCATAAGCTTCACATCTTAATCTTCACATTAGTCTTGTAGGTATGGATATGGTCAGAATTCACAAAAATCTAATTGCTGAAATGACTTATAGTGACCTTAAAGATAGATTTGATGTATCATTTTGCACACATTTGGGGGATGTGGTGGCACTGCAGGTTAAACCGCAAGCCTCGGGGCTGTAAGGTCAGAAGATCAGTTCGAATCCACGCGACGGAGTGAGCTCCCGTTACTTGTCCCAGCTCCTGCCAACATAGCAGATCAAAAGCATGTAAAAATGTGAGTAGATAAATAGGTACCACCTCAGTGGGAAGCTAAAACGGCGTTCCGTGTCTAGTCATGCTGGCCACGTGACCACAGAAATTGTCTTCGGACAAACGCTGGCTCTACAGCTTGGAAACGGATGAGCACTGCGCCCTAGAGTCGGACGCGACTGCACAGTTTGTTGGGGAACCTTTACCTCAGTGGATCTGCTTCAGTTTATGCTAACAATTGGATTTAGCCTTGGAGATCTGAGTACCAACTAGGATCAATTATTTTGGTGGTGGTGATGTAGGTGTGTCTAATAGTTTGGAGGATTGTGAAAGCTGAATTGCAGAACCTTGCAGGCCAGATTAGGCCCACGGGACAGAACTTCCTCATATCCGTTTGAAGTATCAAACATTTTACTTGATGTTGCTGGAACAGGCATTCATTTAGTCCAAGGTGGGTACATCTGAACCTCGGGGGCCTGCCATGGACTGCATTCATTGCCCAAAATGTGCTTTTCAAGTGGAGGTGATAAGTTTACTTCCAAGTTAGTCTAGACCAGTGGTTCTTAACCTTTGTTACTCGGATGCTTTTGAACTGCAACTCCCAGAAACCCCAGCCAGCACAGTTGGTGGTGAAGGCTTCTGGGAGTTGCAGTCCAAAACTCCTGAGTAACCCAAGGTTAAGAACCAGTGATGTAGGCTATAACTAACAATGAAAAAAAAAGCTCTTTGATCTCCATATTTTCTCAAACTGATTTTTTAAAATGATGGCCCACGCCTCATTGGTGGTCTACAATCTCTATTCAGGGGTCCATTAAAGAATATGAAACAGTTGAGGATATA